TTATATTTCATTTGTCGGGTATACCTGCCTTACAATGTAGATTCACTCACAAATCCCACTCTCCTCAAGCCGCAATGTCTTCAACCCCATATCGTCATGTAGATCTACTGAAGCGAGTCTCCAGAAACTGGTGTCGGCCTGAAATGTAGTCTTCATAAACCGCGAAAACCTGATCGGCCATTCTATATACGGCTGATATGTTTCTGGCAACGAATCATATATCTTCTCCATCCACACAATGGCCATGACGTTGCGCGCGTCGTAGCGATGACGGGTCTCATGGAAGGAAAATTGAGGGCCGTCTTCCCACACGCATATTGTACGACTCATGATGATGTCCAACAGCAGCATGTGGACGATGACAAGGCGCGCGATGTGATTGCTTGGATCGATGAATGCGGCAAATTCAACGGCCGAGAGGCGGCCGGCTTTTTCGTGGAGGAATGAATGCTCGCGGAAACCTAGGAATCAAAACGCTTCAGGTCAGCAGGGGTAGCTTTTTATCTACCTGTATGCGTGTGGGCAGTTCTGACATTCGTGAATGTTATTTGTGGCGGAAATCACTATTCGGCGCATCATGGCAATGTGCTCAATGTCAATGACGCTGTGACACAAGGGGCCAAGTTGTTCAAGACTTGTGCAGAACCCGTTGGCAATGGAATTATCCAGCAAGGGGAGCCAGTGGTTGTCTGATGCGGCTACAGACGATGCTTTTTCGACGTAGACGTCTCGTTCAAATGTTTTGAAGGCCGAGTTCTCGAGATCAGGTACCACGTGGGTTCCGACAAGAAAACCTACAGTGGACTCGGTGTTAATAAAATGATGCCGTCGTCGGATTTGGGTCATTTCGCCCCGTGAGAGAAGACGTACAGCCGCGGGTCATGGTAAGAAAGTCTGTAAGGCCATCCGGCATGTGAGCTGCCTGGAAGGTCAGGGTGAGAATGGCAGCAAAAGCCGCCTCAGTATCCGCAAGTGAAAGCGCCGGTCTTGACAGGAATTTGTTTAGTCTTTCAATAGCCGTCACTCTATGCTGCAAGGCAGACTGATTGAAGTCGCCAGGAGCCAGTAGACTCAGATGTGAGGCACCCAGTCCGAGCATCGAATGGATCAAGAAGTCGTACTATACGTCACAAGTCAGGTCGCCAGTCGTTGTACCACTTCCAATGGTCCCGGTAGATGCTCACACACGACAACATACCTCATGCGACATCTGCGAGATGTACTGCCACACATATCTCCCCCCAACTGGCAGCGGCGGAAACGCAGATATGAGAAAATGCTGAAAGAATCTCAAGTCTGAGAGCCCAAACGAACCAGGATGCGTGGACAACGGCTGAGGAACAGCCCGTCCCACTGCCAACGGTGAAGCATGTTGTTGAGCTTCACTCCTCTGAGCCCTTCTCATCAGCGAGTATTCGCACTCAAGCCCCAGCCGCTTACATGCTCCGCAGATGGGTGTGGCTTCGTCACACTTGACTTTTCGTCGTTTACAATTTGGACAACCCGTACGAGACTTTGTGTGTCCTTTTCTGGGAATTGGACGTCGTTTGCCAGTAGTAGACTGCTGGCTGTTGCTGGGCGTTGATGAGGCCGACTCCGGACTTGGAGAGGAATCCATATCCATACACCTGGGCTATTGCACAGCGGGTGTTAAATAGCTCTATGAGATTGATAGATAATACGGCATCGAGGGAAAAGCTTGGAGTTTCTTTTTCCGCAGGTCATGGTTTCTACTGGCGATGTCAGTGGCGCGCCTTCAAGAGCCAAAGAGGCTGAATGGAGCGCTCAGCCCTATTGGCGTGGAACGTGTCCAACTTACCAGGGGGCCACGCCGTCCGACTCCGAGTCCAGAGTTTGGTGGATGGCCCTTTGGATGCTGGAGACAAAAGCCACGCAATCACGGAGCCTGCTGCTACCAAGTAAGCTGACTGTACACGCGGTCGGGCTGTTTTGGGGGTGGACATGACGACACACTTACACCTTAATGTGAGTTTGTTCCGAGGGCTGGAGACGAGGCTCTTTTCCACGGCTCTAATCTTTGGCGATTCTTGGCAGTCGGATGATTGTCAATCAGAAGCAACAAGTCACAGTAGATAGAAGCTCTCAATATTGCATGTTTTGATGTGGCCGACCCGGTGTCGAGTCAAGGCAACGTCTATTGTGCCATTACTTTTGTACCCTTTAACCTTTTTTTGGTATATTCCCATTCTCTATCGTGACTTCTCTAAAACTCCTCGTCGCCCGAGCCTGAAACAATGACGTTGTTCACCTTCAGAACCATGCGACATAATTGCGTGGCCAGCTGAAGCTGCTGCTTCTTTCCAATCAAGGGGTCAATGACAAACGCTTCCTTCATATCGTTGTTGCCACGTCCCATGCAGTCCACACCAAGTTTACCTCGGCTGTCGGGCCCAGCCTTGACCTGCTGACTCTTGACTTCAGCAAGAGTAGAAATGGGGTTGAGACCACTGTTCTCAGCCAGCGTCATAGGGACGGTATCCAGAGCTTCAGAGAACGCACGCATGGCGTACTGTTCTAAACCAGGCGTCTTGACGGCGGCGTCCTCGACAGCCAGGGAGCAGGCAATCTCGGCAGCACCGCCACCGTAGACGACACGATTGTCGCGAACCAAGTTTCTTACCACGCACAAAGCATCGTGAAGTGATCGCTTCGCTTCATCGATAATCTAGACAATGTGTCAGCAATCCATAATCCATTGGACAGGGAGTGACGGGCACACATACCATCTTGTTACTGCCACGGCAGAAAACAGTCACGGCACGAGTGTTGGCGCACTCCTCAATGACCAGCATCTTCTCTCTTGTTGTGCCAAAAGTCATCTCTCTGACAACACCTGCCGAACCCAGCTTCTCTGGCTTGAGGTCTTCGAACCGCGGTACTATTCTGCCGTTCGTGGCAATGGCAATCAGCTCAATCTCGGGGCCACCAACCCAACGAACGGCTGGAAGACCGTTCTGGAGAAGCAAGTGGTTGGCTTCATCATCGAAGCCCCACTGACAAATTGCCAAATTGGCGCCCGTGTCCTTGACCTGCTGGATCATCTCGATAAACTTCTCCCTCTCGTAGTTTTGCAGTTTCTTGAACTCTTCAACACTGGTAATCTCGAGCTTGTGCTTCGTCTTGGGCTTGGGGGGTTCGAAGGCACAAGTCAGGATGGCAATCTTGGCGTCTCGCACTTCAGAAGGCATTTGTGGGTGAGAAAAGTCCTTGTCGACAATGACACCCTTGACGAGCAGCGTGTCCTCGAGCGAGCCTCCAACCTTGCCGTCAACCTTGATCAGCTCGAAATCGACATCCTTTCGCTCCAGATCTGCCACTGACAAGACAGCGTCCACCGCAATGTTGGCGAATTGATCATGCGCTTTGGAGACAATCTTGCTGCCCAAACTTGTTCGTGCAACCTTGACCAGGTTAGCAGTCTCTGTCTTTGTGAAATCGATCGTGTCTGAGATTCGGTCCAGCTCGGCAACGGCGATGTCGCAAGCTTGGTCGTAACCATCGGCGATTCGGATAGGGTGGATGCCCTTATCAATAAGGTCGGCAGCTTGCTCCAGTAGAGCACCAGCCAAGACAACAACACCAGTGGTACCGTCGCCGATTTCGTCATCTTGGGATTTGGACAGCTCTACCAGCAGCTTGGCGATGTGGTTGCTGATTTCCATCTGCTGTAGGATGGTGGCGCCATCGTTGGTGACTGTGATGTCTCCGTCAGGGGAGATGAGAATCTTGTCGAGACCTCGAGGGCCAAGGGAGGACTTGACGAGATTTGCAACGGTCCTAGCTGCGAGAATATGAGACTTTACGGCTTCGTTTCCGAATTGACGTTTCTTCTTTCCCTGACTGTGTGGTTGTCAGACGTTGTTCGAACTGAACGCGAATGGCGGGGCATGTACTTACTCTCTGACCACAATAAAGGGCCGACCTTGCTCATCCTTCAAAAAGGTTGCTGTTTATTCGAAGATGTATGAGTTAGCGCTCAAGCCCGTTTCCCGAGGATTCATTATCGTGCAATTACCATTGTTAGGATCCAGGTCTGCCAAGTTCAAGTTAGCTTCAGTCATTATCAAACCCCCCTGGATTGCCACAACTAGTTGCACTCACTCAGTGACATGTTGGTGACGAGCTTGCTATAACGGAAGCTCTACCAGACTATGTCCAAAAATATGACTCGCCGACAGAAAAGAAAGACCCCGAAACTGGCGATGACGATGGCCTACAGCTTGGAGCTTGTCGTCGTAGCCAAAATTTTAGAATATTGGTGCTGCCTTGAACTGGTCGCGGTGCGGGACGCCGGGAAAAGAAATCTCCGTCATCCGAACTGTCGTTGCGAAACGGTCCAGTCCAGCTTCAATGTTCTGTTGGCTTCTGCAGACGGCCACGGTTAGGCGGTCAGTGGGTATCCACAGCGGGCAGCTCTCTGCGGTTAGTGCCTTCGATGCTGGGTAAGGAGGGGCAAGTTTAACTGCTAGGCCATCAGGCAGGAGGCCGGGCAGGCATGGAGCTCAGGCGTCACTGGTGCGGGGCCTAAGTGGCAGTCAATGTTCGTCGTTGAAGCTCCATGCTTATCTGCCCCTCCATGTGTGTGACCTGCTCACAGCGTCGACGGTTTTCCAGAATTGCCCCACGCGTCATCGGTTCAGTCACACAGGTCTTCACTGCCCGCCAAACTTCTACTTGGCTGAATGTTGGAGCCCAATTTTTCGGCAGCCCATTGCTAGCACTCCTCATCCTTTTAGCTTCTTTTGTTGACCGCGCAGCTGGTGTTCCTGTGCGTCCCCTTTTTTGTGTCGCATAATTTTGCCAGAGTACGTACCATACCTTGATTTTGACCGAGGCGTGACGGACAGACAACAAGCTAACCGGCTCAGAAACACTATACGGTTTCCCCCCTTTCCCGCATCCAGTTCAAGCCGACAGCGAAACGAACTGTCCGCATCTTCTTCGAAAAGACTAGTTATTGTACCGCATCTTTGTTGACCATGGCACCCGCTGACTTCTACGACGACGATGACCTATATGATGGGAACGACTATGAGGAAGATCAGGAGGAAGAGCTGAGCCCTGAGGACAAGCAAGCTATGGAGGAGGGCACTGCCAATGTGAAAAAGGCCCTTGGTGCCAATGCCAGCAAAGTAACAGTCAAGCAGATACAGGAGGCGCTATGGCACTACTACTACGATGTAGAGAAGTCTGCCGGCTACTTAACCAAGACCTTTATTGCACCACCACCGCCTAAACCCACACCGAAAAAGGCCCCAGAGAGTAAGTTGCATGAGTTCTCGTTATCATCATCACTCGGCCTGTTTGTAAGATCTGCTGGAGCGGCGAGCGCTTTACCATTGTCCAACTCGCCACAAACACCTGAAACACTACCTCTACCGCCTTGTAGGACTTTCAGCTACAGAACAAATTCGATTATTCTTCAATCAGAGTTCGATGATATGCCTTGGTTGAACACGCCCGAGAGTCGCCAAGCTACTCTGATAGCACCCTCTGAGCCACGAGGCGGATTGCTTGGCGGAGCCGGAGATGCCCCGAAAATGTCCAAGTTGCAAGCACTTGCGGCCGCTAGGAAAAAGAAGAACGACGAAAAGAAAGAGCAAGCAAAAGCTTCAGAGACAGAAAGTGGCATGAAGAGATTGTCCATCACCGACGACTCTCAGAAAGGCAACACCAAAGGAGCTTCAAGCCCCGCAAAGCGGCTGCGTGGCCCCGATATGCAGCCTTCATCGCGACCAATATTGGGCAGAGGCGACTCACGGAGTGAATCTTCTCAAAATACACAGTCCAATGCTGCTCCTATCGAAGTCATAGCTCCCCAGAAAGAATCGGGTAAACCGAATCAATACCCTCCAGTACAAAGGGAAGAACAAGAAGAAGATGCAGAGCTAGCTCCTGCATGTGCACCATCCGCCTTCGCCAAGACTTTGTTCGGTCCCGCTCCAGAAGATCGCCAAGCAAACAGGCCTAATTTCTTTGCAATGCCATACGCAGCTTCATCATCCTTCCTTGCTACAGCATTCTCTAATCCCAGCCCGGACGATATCGTTCTGGCCGCGCAGGCAAAAGGTTCGAACTTCGCAAGGGCGAAATAACAAGCTAATTCTAATGTTTCTTCAGCCGGGAAGAAGACTGCAGCTCCTGTCAAAGCGGCGTCGATAGTAGTGAAAAAAGACAAGAACGTCGATGCCGTATCTAAAGTTGTAGATGTGGCAAATGGCGTTTCGAATCTGAGGGTCAGCGACGCTCCGCCCCCAAAGAGCAAAGGTCTTGATGTGGCCAAAGAGTACGAGAAGAGCAATAGAAAAAAGAGCATCAGTTTTGTTGTCGTTGGTAAGTTACAAAAGAAGATGACTGGCTTGCCCCTGTCATCTATGCTAACATGTAAATAGGACACGTTGATGCCGGCAAAAGTACGCTAATGGGTCGCCTTCTGCTTGAACTGAAATATGTTCAAGAGCGCACGGTAGATAAGTATCGTCGACAAGCAGAGAAGACAGGAAAACAATCTTTTGCTCTTGCTTGGGTCATGGACCAGAGAACGGAAGAAAGGGAACGTGGCGTCACAATCGACATCGCCACCAATCATTTCGAAACCCCGAACACCAAGTTCACCATCTTGGACGCCCCTGGCCATAGAGATTTCGTCCCAAATATGATTGCTGGTGCTAGCCAGGCAGATTTTGCCGTTCTCGTGGTTGACGCAAATACTGGGGCTTACGAAAAAGGCCTCAAGGGGCAAACGAGAGAGCACGTATTATTGCTGCGCAGTCTGGGTGTGCAGCGCCTGATTGTCGCTGTCAATAAACTTGACATGGTTGGTTGGTCAAAAGATCGATTCGACGAGATTTCTCAACAAGTCATGGGGTTTCTCACAGGCCTAGGCTTCCAAAGCAAGTTGGTAAGCTTTATACCAATTTCAGGCCTGAATGGAGACAACATCGCCAGTAAGATAAAGGATGCAACTGCAGCATGGTATCAGGGCCCAACTCTTCTTGCATCATTGGAGGATTCAGAGCCTTCATCGGCCCGTGCCATCACGAAACCCTTCCGAATGTCGATTTCAGAAGTGTTTCGATCCCAACAACAGGGCACAACAACGCTTGCTGGCCGCATTGAAGCAGGGAATATTCAGATTGGTGATGCAGTTATTGTGCAGCCCAGCGGCGAGGGTACATATATCAAATCCATCATGGTGGACACGGAGGCTCAAGAATGGGCAGTTGCTGGTCAGAGTGTTACGATTGCCTTGACTGATATTGATCCCGTCCACATACGTGTTGGCGATATCTTATGCGGTACCGTCAACCCAATCAGTGTTGGGGACACGTTCACTCTGAAGGCCATGGCGTTCGAGCATCTAATGCCGATGCCCGTTGACCTCCACCGTGGCCGTCTACATGCAGCTGGACAAATACAGTCAATACCCGCAACCCTTGATAAGGCTACTGGTGAGGTCATTAAGAAGAAGCCCAAGGTGGTCCAGCCGGGCAGTGTGGCTCGCGTGACGATTAAGCTTGGTTCCAAGGTTCCATTGGAAAAGGGCCAGAGAGTTGTGCTTCGCAGCGGTGGGGAAACCATTGCTGCCGGCTTATTGGAATAAATGTATCCACGGATTAAGATTTATCATGGCTGTGAGTCATAGTGAAAAGAGAACCTTGTCGATGACATGGAGTACGGAGTAGACAGGTGGCATTTAGTCCCGAGAGGCGAATACACAAAGCCAGATATCAGAAGGTGACGCACGATTTGTCACGGGATAACCCGTAGCTAGGTACTCCGTGTCTAGGTAGCAAATTAGTAGTTGGTATTCACACCCGCAGGCTCACCATAGAAATGATCTATTGAGGTCATATCTGTACTTGGCTTATGGGAACGTGTTGTGTCTTGCAAAGTCCTGCGGCGACTCCTGCCTTTGTAATAGGTAGTTGTTGTTTCGAATGTTCTCGAGGTCCCCACTTGAGGCGACATTCTATTATGGTCGATGTGCTACCTGCCTAGCGCCAATCAATGTGAGCCTTAGGATATGGAGCGCCCTGTGCGCAGTGGCTTTCTGGCACTGTCTCTGGGACAGTGGCCGCAGGGGCAACAAGACGAGTCACGACAGTTGGCAGCAACGTGACGTGCGCCTACTCAAACTACCTAGGTACCTACCTGGGTACCAAGTAAGTGGGTAGGTAGTGCTCGTGGACCTGCCATCAAGCCTTCTGCCAGGTATGCAGTGCGAGATCCTCAAGAGACTATGAGGAGTCATTGAGGACTCGCTCCTGCTAAGTGGGGCATGTTCTGGCGAGCCAGCCCCAGTAGGGCCTTGCATGAAATCTGGCCTCTTGTGCACTCTTTTGGACACCTGGACACCTCGACATATTTTTATAAGGCGTCGCGCTGCTGCTTCTTTTTCTTCTTTGTATGCATCCCCGTCCGTCTTCATTTCATCTAACGATACCCATACCACCCAATTGGTGAAGACGCTGGCTTGAGGATCAAAGACACCTTGCTACGTAGCTTTCACTCTTCTTTTCTTTATTCTAGTTAGTATTTGATTTCCATTACCACGATAGCTTCGAACCGGCTCCGCCTCCGCAATTAACCCCCCTCCCGCGATGGCTCGATCACGAAGCACATTCGCTTTGGGCCTTGGGCTCCTTTGTTGGATTACCCTGCTCTTTTCTCCCCTGGCTTTCGTCAAGCCGGTCCAGGCCGACGTATCTGAATATGGCACTGTCATTGGTATTGTGAGTACTTCCATCTCCTTGGAGGCCATGGTAGTGGGAGGTTGCTCCTGAAGGCGCGGCTCTCAACTGCTACTACGGGTCTGCTCCCCTCCCTGACACGATTGCTGACTTGTTGCGCCTCTTTGACAGGATTTGGGCACGACCTACAGCTGTGTCGGTGTGATGCAAAAGGGCCACGTCGAGATTATCTTGAACGATCAGGGTAACCGAATTACTCCTTCTTATGTCGCCTTCACTGATGAGGAGCGTCTTGTCGGTGACGCGGCCAAGTACCAGGCCGCCGGTAACCCTGAACGAACTATTTTTGACGTCAAGTGAGTATTGCAGCCATTCAACGCATCAGTTGGAGCATTGTTGTCTTTCTAACAAGTCATCTTTAGGCGTCTGATTGGCCGAAAATTCAGTGACAAAAACGTCCAGGCCGATCTCAAACACTTCCCTTACAAGGTTGTCGCCGAGGACGGCAAGCCCGTCGTCCAGGTTGATGTCCAGGGCACTCCGAAGACTTTCACCCCTGAGGAAGTTTCCGCCATGATTTTGGGTAAAATGAAGGATGTTGCCGAGTCTTACTTGGGCAAGAAGGTCACCCATGCCGTTGTTACTGTTCCTGCCTACTTCAATGTGAGTCCCGCGCACCACTATTAGGCCGATTCAACAAAGTCATCATTACTGACAACCAGTGCAGGATGCCCAACGTCAGGCTACCAAGGATGCGGGTACGATCGCCGGTCTCAATGTCCTCAGAGTTGTCAACGAACCCACCGCTGCTGCCATTGCCTATGGACTGGACAAGACCGAGGGCGAACGCCATATCATTGTGTACGATCTTGGTGGTGGTACTTTCGATGTCTCTCTTCTTTCCATCGACCAGGGTGTTTTCGAGGTCTTGGCTACTGCCGGTGATACCCATCTTGGTGGTGAGGATTTCGACCAGCGCATCATCGACTACCTCGCCAAGAACTTCAACAAGAAGCACGACGTCAATATTACCAAGAATAAGAAGGCCATGGGTAAACTCAAGCGTGAGGTGGAGAAGGCCAAGCGTGACCTTTCATCCCAGATGCTCACTCGCATTGAAATAGATGCCTTCTTCGAGGGCAATGACTTCTCTGAGCCCCTGACTCGCGCCAAGTTCGAGGAGCTGAACAAGGATCTCTTCAAGAAGACCCTGAAGCCTGTCGAGCAGGTTCTCAAGGACGCCAAAATGAAGAAGTCCGAGATCGATGATATTGTTCTTGTCGGTGGTTCTACTCGTATCCCCAAGGTTCAGGCTCTCGTTGAAGAGTATTTTGGCAAGAAGGCCTCCAAGAAGGTCAACCCCGACGAGGCTGTCGCTTTCGGTGCCTCTGTTCAGGCTGGTATTCTGTCCGGAGAGGAGGGTACCGAGGAACTTCTTCTCATGGATGTCAACCCTCTTACTCTCGGTATTGAGACCACTGGTGGAGTCATGACCAAGTTGATTCCCCGCAACACCGCCATCCCTACTCGCAAGAGCCAGATTTTCTCTACTGCTGCTGATAACCAGCCTGTGGTCCTGATTCAGGTCTACGAGGGTGAGCGATCTCTGACCAAGGACAATAACCTTCTTGGCAAGTTTGATCTTACTGGCATCCCCCCCTCGCCTCGTGGTGTTCCCCAGATTGAGGTCTCCTTTGAGCTTGATGCCAACGGTATCCTTAAGGTCTCAGCCCACGACAAGGGCACTGGCAAGCAGGAGTCCATCACCATCACCAACGATAAGGGCCGTCTTACCCAGGAGGAAATCGACCGCATGGTTGCTGAGGCCGAGAAGTACGCCGAGGAGGACAAGGCTACCCGTGAGCGCATTGAAGCTCGCAACAGTCTCGAGACCTACGCTTTCAGCCTCAAGAACCAGGTCAACGATGCCGAGGGTCTTGGTGGCAAGATTGACGAGGAAGACAAGGAAACTGTAAGTTCATGTTCCAAAGTGATGACTGCCGTCCATCAACAGCAACAGTTAGCTAATACTGAGCTTAGATTCTCGACGCCGTTAAGGAGGCTACTGAGTGGCTCGACGAGCACGGTGCCGACGCTTCCGCCGAGGACTTCGAGGAGCAGAAGGAGAAGCTGTCCAACGTGGCGTATCCTATTACCTCCAAGATGTACGGTGGTGATGCTCCTGGCAGCCAGGAGGAAGAGTCTGATTTCCACGATGAACTGTAATTATAGAGATGCCGTCAAAAAATGGATCTAACGGGATGAGATAGCTCTGGTCTGGTTGTTTTGCGTGGAGTACGGGCATTTTGGCAGGCTACGTTTAATAATCTTGCCCGCAGCGTAAAGTAGACGTATTATTAACTGAGCTTTTTCCAGCGGAACTTGTTTGGCAAGGGCGTGTGTGTGTGCATAATTTCTGTATCCTCGGCGGTGAGGCAATACATTCCACGCCCCTGGCTTGAGGGCTCCAAAAGTGCTGCCACAGCTGAGGTTGGTGTTGGCGATGCATTTGAAAGTCGAAACGTGCAGCTCCGAGGAAGCATCAACCCTTGTGTGGTTGGAGCTTTCATTGCTTGTGATGGGCAGTATACTACTAGTAAGTATTAATTAATTAGTACTTGAGTGTGCATTGCGCAGTCGCACGGGTGCTGTAATGCGGCCAATGTTTCGTCCTCTATTGTTCTTTTTCATCACCGAAATATTTATTTTCAAAGGCCTGGTCGTTTTGAACTTTGCATCTCCCTAGCCCGCGATACCAAACCTTGTTCCACTCTTCTCACACAACAACCAAGTTTACGTGCGAAATGGGCAGCACGGCAGGGACAGAGTTCCTGGGCTCAATACAAAATGTGTTTGAGGAGGCTCAGGGACAGGGCTTCAGTTCGGTAACGGAATTCCGCAAGGTGACAGGCAGCATACTCAAGTTTCTTAGGGCGTGCAGAAAGATGACGGGTGCCAGAGCCCGTGCCAGCTGTCCGATCTGCTTGCCAGATGGTCGCAATGTCAGAACGCACGTGGCATTGCCTCCGACAGCCCTGAAGCTCAACAGAGAAACGACCAGGAGACTGCGCGAGGCACACTCCTCTAATGAGTTTTGCGGTATTTTGCTCTCACAAGTACACGAACAACTACATGCCAAACGATCAGACTTGGGCAAGGGAGGAGGGAACATGACAACGTCTGCCGGTTCTCGGAGGCCAATTTCGAAAAAGAAGAGAGCATCGAAGCGTTCACCTGAGCCAACACCGAATCCGCCGTCGGCAAAGAAGGCACGCCGACGTCACAAAACAGTTCAGACACCGCCAGGATCTGGAAATCATGACCACAAGGCCGGGGCGAGCCGCACGGCGGGTGATGGCGATGGAGTTGCTGTATCAATGACGCCGGTATCTGCGATTGGCTTCAAACAGAGACCAGGGGCCGTTGTTACCAAGACGCAAACGGGTGAGAAGACGGAAAGGGCTACGCATCGACAGCTCACGAAGTCGCCGACAAAAGCACCACGCCCAGCGAAATCGTCCGCTAGCCCAGAAAACGCAGAAATGGTTGCCGTAAGGAACTACGGCCCTTTGACACCAGTCAAGCGGCTCAGAATTGTCCTTCCAAAGAGAAAGCGGGAGCCTGAGCAACAACAGGTTATCCAGCAGCAGCAGCAGCAGCAGAAACAGGCAGCTCCATCTACAATCACTTCACAAGACGATGGCCCGTATTCCGATAGCTCGAGTGACGAAAGGGAATCAATGTCAGATATATCTGAAATATCGGACTGCATGATTCCAATGGACATGGACCCTTCCGAAGACGTGGCCCGGGAGAAGACAAAGGAGAGAGGCCTTCAAATGGCACAAAAGGTGAGCTACCTGGACTACAACTACGAGAACCAAGGCCCCGGAGTGGTATGACTAACCAGGCACAGGACCAGAGCACACAACAAACACGCGAGGAGCCCGTCCGGTCGGCGGCGGCGACTCAATTTTTGAGAATGGTGCCGCATCTACGCGACGGCATCTCGTCCGTCACGCCGACAAATTGGAGCAGATGTACTCGCAGGATTCAGAGGTATGCAAACTCGGAGGGAATCCGGGGGGCAGATTTCAAGCAGCGACTCATGAGGCTTGTCGAAATAGTCTACTTGCCAGAGGAGCTGGATGCTATTGCGGCAAAGGAATAGGATAGGCTTTTGCGCATTGCAGAGCTCTGCTCGGTCATTGCAGAGACCCTGGGCCCGGAGGACGAGGTCGTGGACTACGAGACGCGCAATCGCTGGATCAAGGAGAAGAACGAGGACATCAACAGCCTGAAGATGTTGTTCGAGGGCATAGACTTCAATGCCTAGCTGGGTGTATGAGCAATGTCCAGCTGAGGAGTGTTTCTTTTTTTTATCAGTCGATTGTGTTTGGTTTGCAGAAAATGGCTGGCAGGGTGGGAAATTATGTCGCTGAGCATCTGGCTCGCTGTGCAGGGTTTCCGAGTTGAGGCAAATGGGAACGTCAGGAACGGTAGCTAGATGGATGATGAACGGTCGCGAGAAACCTATGATTCAGCCGCGCGAAGTAGCTAAGAAATAGAAGAGTCAAAAAGAAACGCAACATTGTTAACGCGGTCGATTGGGCTTGATGTGACATGGAAGCACATGACGTGTTGCTGCCTGCAGACCCAAGCTGTAGCTGAAGGGAAAACTCATCATTACATAGATAGTCGCTTGGCGCCGGATACTAGGCCAACCAGGCGGCATGTCGTCTCGAAAAGGACACGTAAGAATCCAGTTGGCACGGATATCTCTTCATCGTTTTTAATAAGAAGTAGCTCCGGCGCAGCTGGAGAATTCGCAGCCCAGCAGAATTCCTCTTCCAGTCTCACCAAGCACCCGATGTCTTGTGCCCGGCCCGTCAACAAATCACACACACCATGAGCCAAGGCGACAAGTCATTCTGGGACAGGTCGGCAGCGGCCTACTCCCAGGCAAAAGTATCCGACGAGCGCGGCTACCAGCGCACCCTCGCCGCGACAAGGAGCTACCTTGGGCGCGGCGACCGCGTTCTCGAGCTGGGATGCGGCACCGGCTCGGCGGCGTTTGTCCTCGCGCCCTGCGTCGCCAGCTACCTCGCCACGGACCTGTCGTCTGAAATGATCAGGATCGCCAACGAGAAGCGCGGGTCGAATCCAGACGTTGCCCCCGGCTTGGCGTTCCGCGCAGCTACGGCCGAGGACGTGGCTCGCAGCAGCAGGGCCAGGTTCGACGCCGTGCTGGCGTACAATTACCTGCACCTCGTGCGCGATCCGTGGGCCACGGTAGCGGCGATCAGGGACGTGCTAGGGGACGGCGGCGTCTTCGTCAGCAAGACGGCGTGCGTGGGGGGCGCGAATCCGCTCATGAGGTGGGTGGTGCTGCCGGCGATGCAGGCCGTCGGCAGGGCGCCGCACGTGAATAAGTTCACGGGGGCTGAGCTGAAGCGGAGGATTCGGGAGGCGGGGTTTGAGATTCTCGCCGAGGAGGTGCATTCTTCCAAGGGGGATGACGGGAGGCTGTTTATCGTGGCGAGGAGGAAGTGATGATCTGTTTTTGTCTGTGGTGGGTGCTCTCTGCTCAACTATTTGTTATACAACGAATGTAATTATGAATCAACACCTTGTATCCTACGTTGTAATATACAAATGCTTCATCATCCTTGGTCAACAAACTCCATCAATCTAAAAGGACATGTACCCGTCGTCCCAAATCCGCCCAAGAACTAAACCACCGCCTGACATTTTTTAGACATCCTTTTCGACGCCGACCAGCTTGGCGCTCAGCTCCCAGAGCCTATCCTCGGCTTGGACATCATACGCATGAGGGGCCGCGCCGGGATCCAGAACTTCCACAGTGCCGGCTGCATTGCTCGCAACACTACAGTTGGTAAGGTACTTTCCGCCCTTGCCCTCCCAGACCGGTGCGACGGCGGCCCAGACAGAGGTGGCAGCGCCCTGGGGAGGGTTCAACATCTGCGTGCTCACTTTCTCATCGCTCTTCCACGAGTCCACCAGCTCGTCGGGCAGGTAGGTAGCCAGACCAGTCCAGATGCCGCCGGGGTGCAGGGAGAGGGCGTGGACGCCGCGGGACCCAAGCGCGCGGTCGAGGTAGCTGGCGGTCCAGATGTTGGCCGTCTTGGACTGGCCGTAGCTAAGCCAGGGGTCGTACGAGTCGGGTTGGTCGAAGTTGTAGTTGTCAAAGTTGACGGGGGACATGCCGTGTCCCGAGGAGGAGACGTTGACGATGCGCGAGTTGAAGGCGGGCGTCGAGCTGGAGATGAGCGTGGGGAGGAGGAGGCGGGTGAAGAGGTAGTGCGCGAGGTGGTTGACTGCGAACTGGCGCTCGAAGCCGTCCTTGGTCTTGGTGTATGGGCATGCCATGATTCCTGGGCCTATTGTCAGTGATTCTGATGCATCTTGTGTTGAGTAATGTCAAGGCGGCTGGGGAAACGCACCGGCATTGTTGATGAGGACATTCAGCTTGCTGCTCCTGCCGAGAAAGTCCTTGGCGGCTTTGCGGACGGAATCGAGCGAGTCCATGTCCATCTCGACGACCTCCAGCTTGCCTTTGCCCGAGGAGGTCTTGAGGACGTCCTCCTTTGTGGCAGCGGCCTTTTCGAGGCTCCGGGCCGTGAAGTAGACGTCTGCGCCGGTGCTGTGCATGGCCCGGACCGTCTCCACGCCAATGCCGGCCGTGCCGCCGGTGACGAGGACCACTCTGCCGGCCCATGTGCCCTTTGCGCCGCTGTCTTGGACGACCCTGAGCGCGGTAGGGCGCTGGTCTCCCGGGCCGGAGGGGTTGACGTAGAGGTCGGCGTAAGGGTGGAATGCGTCTGACATTTTGAGGGTCTGATGGGTGTTGTGGAAAGAGAGAAGCGCCAAGTTTGGGTTTGGTGGGCGATGGCTTGTAAAGTTGTAAGTGGGCTGGCCGGGCGCTGTCAACGTTTGCCGTTGCAATCGAGGCTTGCGGGTTGACGAGTTGTTTTTTCCCACTCGATTGGCAACATGGCGCATATTTATATTTGTATGAACAGTGGCAGGAAGCCCGGAGGTTCTGCGTGTCTCGTTGCAGAGTTTCTAAACTCCAAAGTTGCAACTATCTCCGGCACGGCTGCATGTCCGCCACGGACTTAACGCGGCGGAGCGGACATGTCCGCTTCGCATCCGCTCGAGCCCGCTCGAGGCTCCAGTCCGTCGCCGCCTGTGGGGCGGTGGTGCCCGCCTCGGTCGACGTCAGCAGCAGCAGCTGAGTTGCAGCACTTCACACGTACTGATGAAATCTTGGATATTAGTACTCCGTACTCCGTAGATAGAGTCCCTCGAGTTCCCCCATCCCTCCCCCTTCAGACCAAGCCACGGCGTCGCGTCATGTCCGCCCGCCACGCGATACAGGCCTGTCGAGCCTGTCGGTACGTTGTGTCCCACCTGACATGATGCGCTGGCTAATCTCCGAGTGCGACAGACGTTTGAAACGCAAGTGCTCTAGGGACATTCCGTCATGTTCACTTGTAAGACGACCTTGTCTACTGAATCTTCTTGCATGCCACTAACCCGGGCTTGAGTGTCTTCGGCTCAGCAAAAAATGCGAGTACCGCCCCGGTGATGCCGGTTCAGAGCCCGCGCCCAACACTGATCTCGCCTCAAGATTGCACGACTTGGAACAGCTCCTCCAAGGGAAAGGGCCCAGCGACCTGATGCCCCTGCCTTCGTATGCAAACGTCAACTCGTCATTCCCTGCAGCATTCTTCCTCGACCCAGATCATTATTCCAAATTTGGCCAACATGACCTCTCTTCCGAGCAATTGCCCTGGGCGGAAAAGGCCCACGTGCTCGTCCAGGACGACTGGCGAGAGGTGTGCGAGCGCTTCCTGTCCACCATCTATACCTGGTTACCGATGATTAGCAAGAAGCGCCTCTATTCCGAGTTGACCTCTTCTAATCCTGACACCAGGGCCGGCAACGCGCTGTTCCTGCTAAGCATGAAACTGTGCACCGGCAGGCCCCTCCAGTCTGCCGATAATTCCTCCTCGTATGCAGATAATGAGCTGTACAGTGCTGCGAGGCAATGTATCTTCTGCGCAGAGTCGGGAGGATACGTGTCGCTGCGGTTGGTCCAATCCCTCGTTCTCTTGGCGGTTTATGAAATGGGCCATGCCATCTATCCGGCGGCGTACTTGACGGTTGGCAGGGCGGCGAGGCTGGCCATGGTTATCGGGCTACATAATACCAAGCTCGCAACGCAGCTGTTCGTCTTGCCGGATATGTGGAGTTTGAGGGAAGAGCAGGGACGGACGTGGTGGGCGATTTTCGTTCTCGACAAGTACAAAGTCTTTGCCCCCGACCCTGTCACCATATGTGTAAGAGGACATCTGGATGTGTGCTGACGACATACTTCTAGGCTTGTCAGCCTTGGATCGCCCGGCTTGCCCTTCGCAACGCCCGACCCGTCTGTTGACCACCTCCTGCCTTCCAACGACCGAGACTGGAACAACGGCGTAATCAGCATAAACGAACCCGTCCTCGCACAGTCGTTCCACGCCGCCAATTCCATTGGGAGGTTTGCAAGAACATGCCAAGCAGCGCATGTGCTGGGCAAGACCATGGCCCACATCAATCGCTGCAAGTCGGCCATGACTGACGTTACCGAAGTTGTTTCGGAGGCGTTGCATCTTCACAAAGCGCTCGTGGCGTTGGACACCAGTCTCGGCAGCCCGCCCGACTCTTTCCAAGGAGAGGGGAGTCCCGGTCCCGATTCTGCTGACGCGGAGGACATGAATTACACTGCCTTGTCGATATGCTGCTCGGCCCGGTACTTGCTCTACACACAGTACGCGTGTAACGAGAGCAACAGGTCCGCTGGCCCAGAGCGCATAGCACTAGAGGCGGAAGCGCAGCAGCTATCTATACAGGGCATGGAGCATCTCAGCGGCGTCTTGGTGCCGCGGATAGCACGGCACATGGAGCACATGGTTGCTTCGCCGGCAGTGAGACCGAGTGTGAGTTTTGTGCCGGGGCACAGCATGTATTATTCCGCCATTGATTGTGCGTGCTTTTACAAGGAGTTTGGTAGTCGGACCATGCTGGATGGCATCAAGCAGATTGTCCAAGGGTTCAAGGCGTTGCGGACAGAGTGGAGGGTTGGAGGTACGTTTGCTTGCTCCATGACGCCGTTGGTCATGTCATTGCTGATTTGATAGTAGCGGAGTATCTGGCCCTTTTGGACAAGGAGCATGTGCTTGAGTTGCTTGAGTGAGATGCCAAGGTGCGCGGCGGGAGACGTGCATCAATGTGCAGAGTAGGCGATTTGGCAATGGCTCCGTAGAGGCGTGAGATGCTGTGGTGTTGTGCGCGATCAAAATCCAGCTCTTGGCTGGTTGGAGTTTTGCTTCTACTCTTCGTGCCATGTAGCACGTGACAGACGCTCCAACACGATCGAAAGGTGCTGCAGATTGGACATGATGATGTCGAGTCGATTGATGGCGCAAGACGACTGGAGGTCTGACTTTTGCCGAAACGGGACGAGGGGCCTGGAGCACTCGAGCCGAGCAGTCCGGTTCAATGTTTGACTGCACATGCATGGCCCCGCTTCTCGCTGCACGTGTGCTCCATTGGTGAACATTTGATGATGCTTTGGGCGGCGTGGGCTCGCTAACCAGCACCAGACATGTGTGGTGCAGCTTGACCAGCCACCTCTGGGAGCAGCCAGCTTGAGCCCAGGCACACACTTGATTGCTGTGCAGGCCGCAGGAACTAGTTGGATGCCTGGCACATTGCGTCAATGAGCTGGCGTCTGTGCCAGCGCCCTGCCTTGTGGCCTCTTGGCGGCAAAGCGCCTGTGCCTCATTATTGATGGAATCAATCTGCACCAGACCCCAGACGCCTCAGTGCTTCTTCCACTTACCTTTTCCGCCATCACCATCGCTCACTTGTGTACTCGCAGCCGTCTCCATCTCCATCTCCATCTCCGTCTCCGTCTCCGTCTCCGTCAACCCTTAACCATCCGCCTGTCCACCTCTGGCCTCAGACTGCGCTGTCGCCGTTTTGTCGCTCTTTCGCCCTGCGCAGTTGAAATCTCGCCACGCCGCCGCTCGACTGTCTAAGTCTGTGCCTGCGGGCTGCCTGATGAAGCGTTGATCCGTCGGTCCAGCCCTGCGGTTGCTGTTGCTGCAGGCACCAACCAGGCCACTCAACTCGCAACGAGCGCACGCACGCACGCACGCACACACGCCGCCGACAACACCAACTTGCCTCAATACCACCCGCCTGCTGCCGAGTCCTCGACCCTGGCCGTGCACGATACTAGAGAGCGTCTTGTCTTGTCTGCAACGCATAGCCGACTTGGCTGCCAACGCCAACGCCGAGCAGGTTCGGTTCCCGCTGGTTGCATCCGAGACTCGAGGCATTAGCCGCGCGCGCCGACAGCAGCAGTGTCCCTGCATCAACAACTCCATCTGCCGCTTCACCAGCCTGTTGCTGCGACGGCGACTCCATCTCGCAATGGCGTCCGACTTCCCCTACGTCAAAAAGATGACTCCGGAGGGCTACGTCTTCCCCTCCCACCGGCTTCGGCGCACATGCGACGCTGGTCGAGTGCCCCTCGTCCTGGTAGCTTGCGGGTCCTGTGAGTACCGCCACCTTGCTCCTCATGTATGATGTGGGCAAATACATATGAGGAACAAGAGACAAGAAATGAAATAAAAATAAAACAAAAGTGCCAAACTGACAATCTAAACCCCCCTCTCAGTCTCTCCAATTACCTTTCTACATTTGCGCATGTTTCCCATGGCGCGGGACCATGCACGTAATGAGGGTGAGCAAGCACTGCAATGACGTCGACGGGCACACGGACAGCACGGCGTGGACATGGCTAATTCATGCGGCATGACAGGATACGAAGTCGTTGGAGGCTACCTCTCCCCCGTATCGGACGCCTATAAGAAGAAGGGTCTGGCCCCTGCAAATCACCGAATTCGAATGTGCGAAATCGCCGCCGAGAACACCTCTAAATGGCTTATGGTTGATCCCTGGGAGGCCCTGAGTCCAACTTATATTCCCACTGCCCGCGTCTTGGACCATTTCGACTACGAGATCAACCATGTCATGGGAGGCATCGAGTGCTCCGACGGCACCCGTAAGCCGGCCAAGATTGTCCTGCTGGCCGGCGCCGATTTGATCCAGACCATTAGCACACCGGACATTTGGGACGCCCAGGATGTGGATCACATTCTGGGTAACTTTGGCGTCTTTGTCCTGGAACGAACAGGGACCGAGCTTGACTCGGCTCTGGCGGCCCTGAAGCCTTGGGAGAAGAATATCCACGTCATTCGACAGGTAAATATCGATTCCGCCATGGCGGTTGTTCTGGTCCTGACGGAATGCCTTTAGGTTGTGACAAACGATATATCCAGTACCAAAGTCCGACTTCTCTTGAAGCGAGATATGAGCATCGATTATCTGTATGTGGGCGCTACTGAACCCGCCTCACCCTGTATTTTCGGCCGCGGTGGAGTTGCTGACCTGGCACAGAATTCCGGACGATGTCATTAATTATATCTACGATAATAATCTGTACCGCGAGCTGGACCTGGCTGGTGGCAGCAAGGGAAAGGAGAAGGCAGATGTGACTGCCGGACCTAGCTCCAGCTGACGGACTGCGGCGACGGTCGGGACGGCTTGCGTACTAGATGGAAGCCTCGACTGTTGGATTACTCGCTGTTGAGTTGAGGATTTGATGAAGGATATTTATTTATTTGGTCTTGCACGTTTATCTGGGGGGGCGTTTTGTCTTGAGTCCTACCTTGCGCGGTATGCCCAGTCAGTTACAGACTGAGGCGGATATTGGGAGGAGACGTTTTTTTTTTCTTATTTGGTTGTTGTGCCGTGAGCGACTGCGAGCTCAGCGAGAAAGCGTCAACATACGACATGGATGAAGGGAGAATAAAATGCAGCGCCGTGCAAACGGCCTGCTGGGATTTTGGCCAAATACAGCGGGGGAAATGCTGGGGAACGGAAGAAATTCAGAGAGCCATGCAAGCAAAGCATGTACGAGCGCGCCGAGGCCAGTTATAGTCTTGGCGAAGGGTGGCGGATTCTGCTTTGGGTGTTTTCTGTATACAAACATTATAAGGAATTAGAGTTTTAGGGCCAGAGCTAATAGGACGCGCCGGGTCGTTTCTTCTTCTCGTTTCTTTTGGAGACGGACAGTGGTCCTGTTTAGGCAGGACGGAACAAAGAGGTAAACTATATGTATGTTATGCGCCATGCATGCGCCGTCATGTTTGCATATCGGCTGTTCTGGGCCCTTTGCGCCGAGTCGAATACGTTTCGTCGGTACCGAAGACAGCCGTTGACATTGAAGTAATAAACAGCCCGGCACGTGCAGCACGTAATACATGGATGGCACAAAAGTCCACCTTGGCAACGGGCAGTCGGTGAGCAAAAGAGGCATCGTCAAGGGAACACGGCTGGCGTGAAGTTTATTTTACTTTCGATGGTCCCGATCTCTCTCTCGTCGATGCTTCTGCGCGGGAGCAAAGAAAGCACCAGACTTGAGCCATGAGAAGCCACACCCGGCGGGCGCCCAAGCCCAAGCACAAAAACGTGCCTGGATGGCTGCCGTCTACAGGCACCGGGGCCACGGGGGGGCGCTTTTCGCTTCCCCACACGCTTGAATTCAATCTTGGACCAAAAACAGGTGGTTCTGGAGATGCAGCGCATCTGATTGGTGGGGCGCAAACGGGGGCCTCGTCCAGCTTCAACGTTGGAGCGTTCGCCAAGACCTGCGGCCTCTACCAGTCGTGAGCGTCCAGCCAGACAACGGTACATGATCTGGCCGTCTACGTAATTTCTTTCCTCGCCGGCGACCATGGCGGACGCGGCCATTGAACCACGTCCATCCGATGTAGAAGCTGGAGAGAACCATGCATGGGCGGCCGCTAGTGTGGCCCTTGGCCGCCGTGGCCCAAGTACCGAGCTGGGAAGGTAGATAAAAGGGACGCGAGATCCTCTTCTTCTTGCTCAGGCCCCTAATTACGTCAATCGTCTTACATCTGTTCCCTGAGACTGGACAATGAAGTCGTTTGCTTGTGTTGCGGCTGTTCTCGGCGCCGCGAGTGCCGTTGCGGCCGTCAGCATCGCCGAAATCAACGGCAACCGGTTCCTGTCGTCGTTCAAGGACAAGAACGTCACGGGGGTGACGGGCCTGGTGACGGCTGTTGCGTCCAACGGCATTTACTTGCGCTCGACGGAGCCGGACGATGACCCGGCCACGTCCGAGGGCTTGTTTGTGTTTGGCAGCGCGGTTGGGAAGCAGGTCCAGAAGGGGGATGTCATTACCCTCAGCGGACTGGTCCAGGAGTATCGGTATGTTTTGATTTGATTCTTTTAGATTTTGAGAGGGGGAAAAAGGAAAAAAACTTGTTGTGGTCTTGTATGCGGAAAAAAAAAGGAAAGAAAAGGAAACGAGATGGAAACGTACAACTGACACACTCTGCAGCTCCAACAACAACTACATTTACCTCACCGAACTTACCAAGCCCGCCAACATCGCTGTCGTCTCGTCCGGCAACCAGGTCAAGCCGCTCGTCATCGGCGTCGACACCCTGCAGCCTCCCAACAAGGAGTATTCCAGTCTTGACAAGGGCGGCGTCTTTGGCGTCCCCAATGCCGTCACCACCATCACCGCCTCGAACCCCGTGCTGGACCCCACGGCCTATGGCTTGGACTTTTGGGAGAGTCTGGTCGGCGAGCTGGTCACCATCCAGAGCGCCCATCTTGTCAGTCGCCCGAACCAGTATGGCGACGTGTGGGTGAGAGGGAACTACACTGTCACGGGGATCAACGGCCATGGCGGCCTGACTATGCTCGACGGAGGTGAGTCCCTTTTCTTCGCCTTGATCCGCTCCTCCTCATGTGGAGGAACCTTGACAACAGCAATGGACATGGCGCTGACGAGACAAAAAACCAACCACTATGTAGATGCCAACCCGGAAGCCATCGTCGTTGGAAGCCCCCTCGACGGCTCCAAGAACCCAACCGACACCAAAATGGGCGACTTCATCGGCGACGTCACGGGCGTCGTCTACAACGCCTTCGGCACATACCGCGTGCTCCCGCTGACCGCCGTCAAGACCATCACGCCCTCGTCGCCAGACTACCCTGCCACGTCGCTCACCGGCAGCGCCAACTGCAACGGCCTCACCGTCGCCGACTACAACGCCGAGAACCTGGCCCCCAACTCGGCGCACCTGCCCAGCGTCGTCTCCCAGATCGTCACCAAGCTGCGCACCCCGGACCTCATCTTCCTCCAGGAGGTTCAGGACAACTCGGGCCCCGTCGACGACGGCGTCACCTCGGCCAACCTCACCCTGTCGACCCTGACGCAGGGCATCGAAAAGACCTCGGGCGTCAGGTACGACTTCGTCGAGGTGGCCCCCGTCGACGGCCAGGACGGCGGCCAGCCGGGCGGCAACATTCGCTGCGCGTACCTGTACCGCCCGGACGCCGTCGAGCTGTACAAGCCCAACCCCGGGGGCAGCAACGACGAGAACGCCGTCGTCGACGGCCCGTCCATCAAGTACAACCCGGGCCGCATCGGACAGTCCGACGCCAACTTCGAGGCCACCCGGAAGCCGCTCGTCGCCATGTGGAAGCCCGTCAAGGGCCCCAACAAGGTCTTCTTCACCATCAACGTCCACTTTAGCAGCAAGGGCGGCTCGACTGGCTTGCATGGCGACCCGCGGCCCCCCGTCAATAAGGGCGTGGAGAAGAGGACCGGACAAATGGAACTAACTGCTGTGAGTCTTTACCAGATATATATATGTACTTGCCCTCTCTGGGTTCCCCATGGACATGGACTAATGGTATCCTCTCCCCTTTTTTCTTAGAACTTCATCGCCCAGATCCTCGCCCAAGACCCCAAGGCTCGCATCATCACCGCCGGCGACTTCAACGAGTTTACGCAAGTCCAGCCCGTTACGACCTTTACCTCCAAGTCGGGCCTGCTTGACGCCGACGAGGTCGCTGGTCTTGCCGCGGTCGAGCGCTACACGTACCTGTTTGACCAGAACAGCGAGGCCCTGGACCACATGTACATTAGCAGGGGGCTGGCCAATCATGCCCAGGTCGAGCACCTGCACTTGAACACTTGGCAGAACTATGACGGCCAGACGAGTGACCACGACCCGAGCGTGGCCAAGTTGAACTTTTGCGCGTGCTAGATGCCCGGGATATGGCGGTCGGTGTCCATGTACATGAGTCCCGTGAGGTCTGGATGGAAGTCTGAAGTTTTCGTCACGACGCGGAGGGTGATGGATATCATGAACATAGACAAGAGTCGGGTAGGATTCCCCGGTCTCTGCCCTCTTCTGCGCAGGGCTTATAAAAACAGCAGACAAATATTTAGTAGCAGCGACCAAGAGTTAGCCCCCTGGTTCCTGAGCATCCCTCGTGACTGGTGCTTTTATGCATGGACGCTGCAGCTCACGAGATAGCATACTGACATGGCCGTATCCGGCTGAGATGCCCATGGATTCCCGCAGCTGTACTCCGTAGATGGGCGCAACAAGAACAGCTGCTTCGGCTATTTCCTTTAGCACCAGCGAAACTGTACATGTATATTTTCCCTTGGTACTGCGTGCCCTCGCATGGGTTCTGGCGGGTGGGATTTCTCATCGATGCGGAATGCAGCATGGGAAACATTCATCCAACTATTTGGCCTCTTGCAGCAGAGACATGCATGCGGCATCGCCAACATTCGGGCCATTTTTTTTTTAAAAAAATTCTAGTTAAATTGTCAGCATGCATCGCCTGAGGGTGTCTGATCAAGCATTACCAAATCTGCACACTTGACAGTCCAAGGGGCGAGACTGCCGCCACGCCGTCGCCGCCGATTGACTCTGTTTCTGCTCGGCACTCAGGCGACAGTTTCACAGCATCAGCATTGTACATGAACAACAGGATTTAAACAGGAGCTTCAGGTCCCTGCAGTGAACGCCACCGGCGCCCATCCCATCCCATCCTGGCACCTAGCTGACCGCCGTGGCGCTGAGAAGGGTAAAGTTCCAAGATGGGTGAGCGACAACCCCGTCGCGGCACTTCAGGGTTGTCCATTTTCGGCATCCTTCAGTGCAGGAGGGGGGACAATTTGACCCGAGTCTTGTGTCGTGCGCTGGGAAGCTGATTGGACTTTTGGACGAATGAGAAGACAGCCGAAGGAAGATGGCCTCAGTGGCTTTTTTTATTTAGCTGTACTTGTCGGTCAGGGGGCGGGTATGAGGACGTTTGTGCCTCTGACCAAGATATGATTCGTTGAGAAGATTCAGGGCTGAGCATGGTAAACAAGCCATGGCCACTGGGAGATACTAGTAATTAGAAACCCTGGTCCGAGTTCTCTCCGACACCTGAAAGTCGGGCAAGACATGCAGCCCGTCACGTCTGACCTCATACATAGTACTATCTTGAGCTTTCTGTAAATGTTCCTGCTACTCCGTATTTGTGATGAAGAGGGGGATAATGTGCCAGGGGGAGACGTCAGCTGTCGATGGACTTACATTGGGCATATATGGTGGACATATGGTGGAATGTTTCGTCCCACGGTTGTCCTGTCGTCTCGAGGGACTTAATACCTGCTCTCTCCCCCTGTACCTA